AATTCAAACCCCTAAATTCTGATCTCTCATTCTAATTTTCCATCATTTTAATTTTCTATGTCCCTCACTCCTACTACATTCTTTCTTACCTAGTGTAAATCTGAAGGCTAATCCTTCTTCTATTTTCTCCTAGACTCTCAGTCCCCTTCCCAGCCCAGAAAAAAAGTTATAATAATTATCATTGATAGAACTCTTTTGATTTCCTTGTTTCCCCTTAAACTATTCCAGTATGTACCTACCATCCTCCCAACTACTCTATTACATAAAATTCTAGTTCCCTTACCTCATCTAGAAAATTTGAGAACATCAGATATGCTCTCACTCAACTTCTATCCCTTCCGCCTTCATGCCAATATCACCCTTAACCATTATCCCTCAAGTATTAGTGAGTGAGGTATCTGTCTTCTGTCCATAGTCCTTTCTGCTATCACTCCCATATCTCTGTCCTCTCATGGAATTTATTCTATTTTAATTGTATTTTATTTGTCTTTGACTCTACTCTTCTTGCTAGTGTCATTCTGTTGGCTTTCTTTTCCCTTGACTTCTTTGTAACCCCTGAGTTTTTCTCCTCTATCCTCATCCAAACTTTACAACGAACTTTCTATCTATGTTGTCTCCACTTATTTTCCTCTTATCCTCAACCCACTGTCACATTTTTAGCGTCAGAAATGACTATTTGCAAGGTTATCAATGACCTACAATTTCCAAAACTGAGTGAATATCGTCAGTCTTTTATTTCACTGGACACTTCTCCTGTGTGTGATACTCTTGTTCACTTGTTTTTTCTAACATAGCTCTATTCATTGGACTCTAATAATCGCTTATTCTTTCAGACTCCAGTCATTCTTGACTTCACCAGTAAGTTGCTTTTCCTGTTTACAGACTTCAAGTGTACTTTCCTCAGTCACCTAACTTCTGCCTTACTTCACATTCCCATAGGGAGGTCATCCACACAGGTTTCTACTTCCACAAAATGTCTAGTCTTATCTCCAGCACAAATTTTCAGCAAAAAGCTTCAGATATTAACAGCCATATACTTCCTGGACATCTCCACTTATTTCCCACAGGAACCTCAAGCTAATCATGATCACAACTAAATTCAGTCTCTCCCACGAACCCACCTATGACTGGGTATTTTGCATTTCCATTGGTGGCACCACTGCATGTTGAAAAAGTTGGAATACATACATAATAGGCCTCTTGATTAAAAAAAGAAGTCCCACTATTTTAATCTTCTGAATTTTTTCTGAATCTAACTACTCTTTAATCCTCATTACCCCTTCATTATGAGCCCTAATAAGTCTTCCTGTCTTTGTTTTTCCTTTTTTTACCAGTTAGTGTGCATATCCAGTCTCCCTGAAAGCACCTCCTATTAAAAATCTTTTAATGATGCTTTCATCCACACAATAAAGACCTGCCTTCTTTAAAATATGAGGTCTTTCTATGGCCTTGCTTCCATTGCCAACCTCACTTCCTAGAACTCATTCTTTCTAAATTTAATGTAAAGCAAACTGCCTATCATTGTCATTCATATATCATATTATTCCTCACCACTCTGCATTTGGATAAAAAGTACTCCCTCTTCTCCCCTCTCTACTGGTCAACTCCTTTCACCTCACCCCCAAGAATCTTTCTCTGGCTCCTCCTCACTACTAAGGCAGGAATGTCCCCCTTCTTTTGTTCGCACAATATTGCATGTGTTTCTGTGCTTCATTTATAACTAGAGTGTGACTTTCTCGAGGACCCAGGCCACATTCTGTATTATGTCTCCAACGTAAACTAGAACTTAGAAGATGCTTAATAAGTACTTAATAAAAGGATGAATAAATAATAAAGGTGTTGTACATTCATTCTTGTTATTCTTTTTTCATATGATGTCAGTGTGTGGTAAAGACAGTCACCAAACATTCTATGAACACCCCCCTCCCCTGTATTTCCTAATCTTCCTTCTAGTTAGAATGGAGTCATGTAAATAGTTTGAGGAAATGGGCTATTAGTGTAAATGGTATGTGTCGCTCCCAGCTCAATATCTTTAAAAGTAGTTGTGAGTCTTCCACATTCTCTGTTGCCCTGTAATGGTGGGGAAGGAACCCACATACGAGTGGGAATTAAGCCTGTTGTATTAAGCTACTGAGACATTGGGATTAATTTGCCACCATTAATTAGCATAATCTAGTCTACCCTGAATAATGCTTGTTATTGCAATACACATGTATTAATCTCTGTCCTATTATATATAGATAAGATTTTGTTGAACTTTACCCAATGTGCAGTTCTTTCTCTTGTGCTTAAATCTGCATAACGTCCAGTCATAGGAAAACTGCACTAGATACCTCTGTTCTCCAATTGGCCTTCTATTGCTGGCCAGCCCTCTGCCTCAAAGCTTCTGTATGTCACAGTGTACTTCCTAAACATGGTTTATGTTTCCCATCCTTGCCCAACCTAACATACCAGTACATTGCCTGCTTAGTATATAAGTGAAAGTGGGAATATTTTTCCTACACAAAAAGTCCCTCATACTTACCCACAATTTGTCTCTGATTCCACAATGGAATGCCATGTCTCTAATTTAAGATTTGATCCTTGTTGTAAAAGAAGCTTCTCCCAGGAATCCCACCACCTTACAATCCAATCCCAGGTTTAAGAGATCAAAGACTATCTCCAAAGTAGATCTCTAAAGCCCTCCTAATATGTCAAGTGTATATAGCTTCCACAGTTGCACAATTTCCAATATTCTGATGACAGCACATATAAAATTCTATTTTTTCCCACAAGTATTCTATAAAATATATTGACTTTCCTAATTAGGTCCCAAATTTTATTGAACTGTATTTGTATTATATTGTTTCAGTAAAGTAAAGTTAGAAAAAACAGAAAATCTTGTTTAGATGTGACTTAGCTCCGGGGTAATACGATGCAACCAGTTTATTATATCTTTTAGCTCTAGTGTTTTATTTTGTTTTGTTTTATTTTTTTTTTTGTTTTGGAATGATTTCATTCTCAGTCTATACCCTTCTAGTTTCAAATCCAGCAGGGATGAACAAGATCAGTATTAACCAAGAAGTCCCAGTCCAAGATTTGTTGCCTTATGTAGGTTTTGAATTAATCATAATCCCACCTCTGAACCAATCTCTATGACCAGGTAAATGTATGCACCATTACATAAGGCATTAGAACATGCCCATAGAATGATAAAAAGGAATTTCTTCAAAAAGGAAGTAAGAGCCTAAGAGTGAAGAAGGGGACAATTTCTAAGGAGAAATTGGAGAAAGGCCACCAAAAGAAGGGAAATGATTCTGGCAGCAACGGCAAATTCTGCCCTACTTACATAGTCTGCCTCCCCAGAAGTGGATTTAGAGATAACTTCTTATTAGGGAATGAGCATCTCACTATGCACTATGGTCCCGTCTCTGTACTTCTCTAAGTTACTTTTTTCTCCCATGTGCTTTCTTTGTAATCTACAAGCCTTTGTCTCCAAAAGTATACCTGCATTATGAACTATATTATCAGCTATTTTGAGGCAAGAAATAATATTGCTATACAGTTTGCATTGTGCACTATGTGAAGTGGAGATCTCCACTATTCAACAAATAATGAAGGGATAAAAAAAATTAAAATTTGATGAAACAGCATAGATTCAGGGGTATTTTAAAATAGGTGGATTGAAGCCTCCCTGTGTTTCTTATAAGCTTCTGGATTGAGCAACTCAGACTACAGTTTATTTGTATTCCATCTCATTCCACATTGTATTTGCATTGACTAATAATAGTATTTATTGTAAACCATTTGATGATTTTTTTTGGCCGTACTGGGGTTTGAACTCAGGGCCTCATGCTTGCTAGGCAGGCATTCTAACACAAGCCATTCCACCAAGTGTTATTGACTTATAACAAGCCAGACACATGATCTTAATCTAATTCTTGCACCAGCACATATGATGTAGAGATTACTATTACCTGTGTTTTGCAGTTGAGAAAATGACACTTAGAGGAGTGAAGTACCTTACCAAATATTTTGTAAGATGGAGCTAGAATGAAAACCTGAGAGGTTTAGCATTTGCTCCTAATCTCTTCCTAGAGAAACACACATCATAATAAGTATCCATAGGAAGAAGAATAAAGATGCTAAATGGTCATATCTATAGATTACACAGCTATTATGATTCGACCATTACTTTATTAACTATAGCCAAAAAGAAAAAAAGGGGATAGGGTGAATGAGATAAGGGAGAAAACCAAAAGCCAGGAGACTGGGGATTGAAGGAGAATATTCGTTTAAGGAATTGAAGTTTGTGACTATTTAGATGCTAAGGAGAAGGGACAGAAAATAAAATAAAATTAAAAGATAAGAAGTCAGAGGGTCTTATTCAGATTATTAGCACATCCCAGTACTGCAGCACTCTTTGTATCGAGGTGTTTGTGCATGAGGTGCTAATGCACACATATAAAAACCTACTCTATGACAACTATCATGGTAAGCAACAAGGATGTGAAGATACAGTGATTACTAAATGACATTCCCTTGGTCTTCAAAAGCTTGTACTTTAATGAAATGGAGATTTATCAAGTAATTTGAGTACCATTAATGAAACAAACAGTAATTGGAAGGTACTAAGGGAATAGAGTAAAGTATATGGGTGACAGATCATAATTTTTATAATTATTGTTCAGATTGATTCCAGATAAGTCTAGGTTAGTTACCTTGGAGATTACCATGGTTTTTTGGAGGTCTGCTAAGCTTGAAATTTATTTTTCTTTTTCTTTTATTTATTTATTTTTTTTCTTAGCAAAAGAGTGGAAGTTATTAAGCAAAAAGAGAAAGAGAAGAAAAACCCCACATGGGAGGGATCTCAGAAAGGCTGAGCCCAAACTTGGAATTTCTTAAAGAATTAACACTAGATTCCAAAATGAAAGCTCAAGATCCAAGAAATGACATATAATGTATGTGATAAGAAAAGATTAATTTGATTTTTTTCTCTTCTTTCTTTGTCTCTCTCCCAGCCTGAAGTTCTAGATCAAATACAAAATTTAAGGGAGTTGTGGATGGATAATAATGCATTGCAAGTTCTACCTGGGGTATGTAAGTTTTATTATGCCATGTTGCCTAACATTTATATTGCACATTATTTGTATTTAATAACTAATCCTGAATCTCGAATCTCAGTGTTTACATTTGAATGTCAACTAACACTTGGCAGGAGTGTTCACTCACCAGCTGTTTTTCGCTAACTTGTTTCTGAGTGTTTAATGTATCTTGTGTGAGTGTTATATATGCAAAATGTATGAAAGGTTTTTCTTGTTCTCTTAGAAGTACATATCATCTCTTTTCATAATCACTATTTATTTTTAAAGCTGATAGTTTCAAGTTATATTTCTAAAGGAGAAATGCTATATCTAATACCAAGTTTTTTTACAAAATCAAATTATTCTCATAGGTAACTAGACAAAGGTTTCAACTCATTTTATTAGCACTCTTCCACAAAATATTAGTTTCTTTTTCAGTTCAGGGAAGGTCCAATAGAACCCGCTTGAACTTTTAAAGTGGCAATGATCATACAGCATTAAAACAACAAAAGTTAAATAACAGTCAGATCTTTTCCTCAAATAAGAGGAGTCCAGTAACATTTCCTGAGCAACAGGTGTGCCTTCAACTCATGGAGTGAGACTAGTCCAGCTTTTGCTATAGTGTCCCATAGAACACTGCCTCTTGCAGGTCTGCATGCTTACATAAGCATGTCAGAGAGAGAGAGAGAGAGAGAGAGAGAGAGAGAGAGAGAGAGAGAGAGAGAGAGAACAATCACAAGTCTCCCGGTTGTCTTGGCCAGCTTCAAACCCTGGACTAAGAATGAAAGCAGGTGAATGTGTAACATCCTTCAGTTAAATCAGAGGTTTAGATGTGTATTCCTCAAACCAATTCTATTCCTCTTTTGAATTTACATAAAACATTCCTTAAAATCATTTGAAAGGCAATAAGAACAATAAGGTTATCTCTTAAGCATGAGACCATCGTAGAAGGGATATCTGGGAAAACATTCTGAAAAATACTTTGTTATCAAAAGGATACATTTCTATCATTGCAGACACAAAATGGAAAGGTATGCACAGCCTGTGTTTACTGATTTATTTATTTACTTAAAGTTATTTATCAATATACTTCCACGAATCAGAAACTAAGCCAAAGTCAGTTTTATAAAGATGATACATTCATTGACCAAAAAAAAGTATTTGTTTGAGGAGCTCATGCTCAGTTCTAGAGACAGGTCTGAATTCTACTACACATACTAATCTGATTTCTACCATTTTCAAGACATGGTAGACCACTCTTATTCATGGTTTTGCTTTCCACAGTTTCAGTTACTCACAGTCAATTGCAATACAAAAATATAAAACAAAAAATTCCAGAAATAAACAATTCATGTTTCAAATAACTCCTATAATGCATAATGCTATGATTGCTCATTTAATTATTATTGCTGTTTATCTCTTACTGTACTTAATTGACATATTAAATTTTACCATGAGTGTATATGTACAGAAGCAAAACATAGCATATATAGGTTTCAACCATAACAAAGGTTTGAGGAATTCACAGACTATTATAGAACTTATTCCCTGAGAATAAGTGGAAACTACTGTGCACAGAGACAAAATAGGTAAGAACTTTTATTAATGAGCAGTGCAGAGGTTGAGAATACAGTCTGTATGTTTATTTGCAAGTTTACAACTGCTTCTTGAATATATTTATTTATTCTAAACCATTTACACTAGCATTTACCATGAGCTAGGCACTCTCTGGATGTTTTATAAATATTAACTCATTGAGTCCTCATAACAAGAACCCCGTGTTCTTGTTACTGGTCCTATTACTGTCTTCATTTTGGAAACTGCAACACAGAGCAAGTAACTAGCCCAAGGTCATGCAGCCAGCAAATAATGGAGCTGTGATTCAAACTGGCTTTAGAAACTGCTACTTCAACATGTTCTCTGTAGAACCAGCAGAAGACACAGATGAGAATTAGATTCATTTTACTTCACAATGATTATGTTTCCAAAACCCAAAGTTAACTCACACCCAAAATTCCTTAATAAGTTTATTATTTAAATGAAAAGATAGTGGTGGAATCTCTAAAGCATACAATGCTTCCTAATTGTCTTTCTAACATTTGTCATCTATTCTGCTGCTTTAAACTAGATCTCTTACTTAACTTAGCTCACTAAAATTTGACATTTTGCTATGTGTGGGAATAGCCCACACTCACCTGACACACATAACCATGGCTTTTCTGAATGCTGGAACTGTCAAATAGTTGTTTCTCACCTATCTAACATTGCTGGACTTTGAAAGGCTCATCTCAGGTACAGTCTGCTGCTCATATCTGTCACCTTCAGAGATGATTAATCCTAAATATTTAGTGTCATCAGAAGCAAAAAACAAACTTGCTTTTTTCTTAGATCATGTGTTAAAATATATTAAATGAATAGATCTTTGGAAACCTGAGGCTTTATTTTCTGCTCTATTTTTCCACAAATCAGAGAGGCAAATAGATAATGATCAAATATTTCATCTCCATAGCTCTATCTTATGATCACCAATCTAACACTAATCAGCCTAGATATGTGACTAAACAATACATTTCATTCATATTTATTTTTAAACAAACTTTACAAACTCAACCTGTGATTTCCACTGTTTTCATTTGCTGGACACTTCTTACCTACAGATCCTCTATTTTCCAAGGTATGTTGGAGCAACAGTCAACATCCTCAAGCATTCTGAGACACTATGTCTCAAAGATCTTTACCCAGCCTACTATAAATGCTTTGAAAGTGAAGGTTGAGAAAGCTCAAAAAATCAATGGTGTTATTTTGTTTCCAAAAAGAATATTTAGAAACTGCACACCAAAATATATTGTTCTGTTGGAAATAATGAGATAGCAATGAAAGAAGCTTCAAGGATGAAAGATATTTTCTCATGATAAAGGAACAAAACAAGAAATATACAACATGCATATACACATAGAGCATTCTTTTATTGCTCAACAAAAAGGAAGAGTGGGCTAAGGTAACATATTTCCTTGGGGTGGAAAACTATTAGTAAAGTGACAATTTTCTTCCATGTGACATATTTCTAAGAGTAAAATTCAGCTTTGTTACCTGAACTCTGTAGGTATTCTGTTTCTAATCTCATGTTTACTCAGCAACTCCAAGACTGTGCTCATACTCTGTGCCCATGTGGGGAGTGAAGAGAATAGGACTAGGGATATACCTTGGGTTAATTTAGGACATGGAGACCAGGAACTGCCAGTATAAAAGCAGACTTTATAGTCTGTATAGTCTGTTATAGTGAGTTGATATTTCAGCTCCACCCTTTACTGATGGTGCAACCTGTGAATGTTACAATAGATGTCATTATAATTCTTCCTCCAAGAATGAAGAGTTTTCTCAATTCCCTACCTTCTGAAAATACTGTTTGCCAATATCCCCACTCTTCAGGAGTATCCTTACCTAAAGAGAACCTCCTTACTTAGGATCATACCCCCACCTTGGGAGGATTAAAAAGGCCCATCCCCTTGACCTCTACTCAGGACAACTGCAAGACAGTCCCAACCTCTATGTTCCTTGAAAGGATGTCTGGGTACTTCATCACAGACCAGCTTCTTCATCTTCCTAAATCTGCTTCCTTCCCAGTCCTTTTCTTTCCTTTGGTGTTCATTCTAAGAGGACGCTTATAAACTTCTCTCTTTGCCTCTACTTCTAAGGGAACCCAACTTATGACCTAACTTAAATCCTAAGCTATAATGTGTGCTAAAGCGCAGATTGATTCAGTAGGTGTGGAATGGGCTTGAGATGCTGCTTTTCTGATGAGCTCCCAGGTGAAATCAACACTGCTGCTCTGCAAGACACATTTAGAATAGCAAGGACATAAAGTATTAAATTTTAAAAATACACAAAATACTTAGCACAGTGTCAAGCATGAGTCTGTTAATAATTATTTATTTTTTTCTATCAAATAGGTAGTGACAATATAGTAAGTTGTACAAGTAGTTGCACAGGTAGATCAAATAGTTGAACCACTGAGTAACCATGTATGAGATATTTATTTACAAAACATGCCCTGAAGAAAAGGAAAATGGTTTCTTCCTGCCCTGACTCCTATAGTCTATGTGTGAGCTAAGAGATCACTCACCATTCATTGTTCAAGGTAGGAGTTGATTCTTCCTGTCCTCAGCAATCAGTTAGTAACCCAATGATTCCACCCATAAATTTATCTAGAGACCATCCCTCTTCATCCTCACTTCTGCTGCCTTTAGTACTAACCTACCAAATAGCTAAACTACTTTCATACAGTAGTCCCTCAGTATCTGTGGGGGGATTGGTTCCAAGATACTCCCCTCCACCAGGATAAACAAATCAACAGACACCAATGTCTGAGGAGGCTTAAATCCCTTGTATGAAATTCTGCAATATTTGCATGTGACCTATGCAGATTTTCCTATATATTTTAAATCATTTCCATATTATAATACCTAATACAATATAAATTCTGTGTAAATTGTTGTTAACTTGTAACATTAAGGGAATAATGACAAGAGAAAAGCATGTACAGGTTCAGCATAAATGCAACTTTTTTCACATTTCTGTTCATTTGTTTGTTGTGAGACAGGCTCTTGCTATATAGCCCAGACTGTCCTGGAACTTGCTATGAAGCCCAGAATGGCCTAAAACTTAGAATACGTCTGTCTTGGCCTTCTGAGTTCTGGGATTACAGGAAGGTGCCACCATATCCACATTTGCCTCATTTTGATCCACTGTTGGTTGCAGATGCTAAAAACCAACTACATAGTATTTCTGATGGGTCTCCTTGACTCCAGTCATGAATCTGCCTTTTTGAAAGTTTTCTAAAGCTATTTTTTCTAAGCAGAAACCTAATCATGTCATTTCCCATCCTACAAGTTTTGGATAGCTTTCCTTGCCTATATGTTCTCACCCCCTCATGTAACATGTAAGGCCTTTTTACCAACTGGCTTCTTCCTGTAATCCCAACTTCATCATAGATTTCAGTCACTTTGAATTTCTCACTCTTTCACAAACATGCTATGCTTTTTCACACTTCTCTGTCAACATACCTGCTGTTCTCTCTTCCAGTTTTCTTCTTTCTTGACAAGCAGTGTCTGCCAGGCAATTTGCAACTCTTCCCCTGTTCTTCTATGGATTTTTTTTCACCTATCACAGGGTATTATAATTGTTTGTTTATTTTAGTGTTTCCTACACTACTGTGAACTCTTTAAGGATAAAGACTTTGCCTTAGCTTGGCATAATGGTTCATGTCTGTAATCTTAGCACTTGGGAGACTGAGGCACAATGTTGAATTTCAGGCGAACCTGTGTTCATAGCAAGACCTTGACTCAAGAAATAAACCAAACAAGACTTTGTATTCATCATGACAAATTTCTCCCCGTGAGCTGTTTTGACGCATGATTTTTCTCTAATATGTAACACAGATAGATATTATATTATATTATATAGAGATATATCTGTGTATATATTATATACAGATATAGTAGATATATGCTACTGAAAAAGGACAAAAGGATTATTAAATGAATAAAACATTGAATCTGATTAGTAGACAAAGTCCAAATCACAATTCTAAGCCTTTCTTATGCATTTGAAAATTTAAAGATCAATGTGTCAACATGCATCATTCAGTAACAACTTTATTCTACTCAGTAGCAGCTTTGAAATTATTGTTGTGTTTTAACTGTTGCATTGATTTGTAACTGTCTTTTTTTAACTGCTTCCTTGAGATATAATTCAACCATCACCACAATCTAATTTTAGAACATTTCATCACCCCTACAAGAAACTCTGCATTCATTCACAGTCACACTCATGCCCTGCCCCCTCCAGCCAGTCCTTAGCATACTCTACTTTCTGTCTCTACAAATTTGCATGTTCTGAACATTTCATATAAATAGAATCATGCAATATGTTTTATTTTGTGATGGGCATCTTTCAAATTTCATCCATTTTGTAGCCTGTATTAATACTTTGTTCATTTTTATCACCAAATAATATCCTTTTATATAAAAATAACACATTTTCTTCACCCATTCATCAATTGAGTACATTTGGGTAGTTATCACTTTGGGCTATTGTGAAGAATGCAGCTGTGGCCATTTGTGTAAGGTTTTGTATGTAAATATGTTTTTATTCTCAAATATGTAGGGATTTCTCAGTTGTATGGAAAATGTTTAGCATTCTGGGAAACTACCAAGCTGTTTTGCAAAGTGGATGTACCATTTCGTATTCCTACTAGCAATGTATGAAAGTTTGCAATATTTGTACATTCCTAATGACACTTGTTATTGTTTTGGTGACTTTTAAAAATACTTTTAAACTATTATGGGTTTTATAGCTTTAAAATGCTTATAAAAGTTTCTCAACTAACCCTGAGTTTATGCAATGTCATCAAGTCTATAGGGAAGCTAAAGATGCTGGTATACCTGGATATGTCAAAAAACAGAATAGAAACAGTTGACATGGATATTTCTGGATGTGAAGCCCTGGAGGACCTCTTACTATCATCCAATATGTTGCAACAGTTGCCTGACTCTATAGGTGAGAATATAATATTTTGTAATGAATATTTATATCAAATGTAAAATCTTTTTTGGCAGTATAGTTTGCATATAGATGTAGGTAATATACTGCTAGATCAACAATAAATCAGTAAATTCACTATGCAAGATCATAAAATAGTATTTTACAAATACCTTGAAATGAAATGTTAACCTTAGCTGTCAAATTTAAGAAGATTCTCCTGTTAAAATGTTCTACTAAGTTGATACGTTTTTAATTTTTTTAAGTCTCCTAAGTTGCAAAATGTTATTGTAAGAAGTATGCATATCTTAGATTTTGAGTAATTTGATAATGACAGGTATGTCATTATATCACTGTAGGATTACAGTAGCTTCTGTCCATAAGATGTCACTCTGTTCTATTTTTAATATCATTGTAACATTGCTGTAATATAGGAACAATATAAAATATAAAAATGCAAAATGTCTTATTGGTTCTATTATCTTAAAAAGGACACATTATCTTTATATGCTTGAGTACAGATAATTTAGAAGTATATATAGTAAGCAATATTTTTTTTGCTTACAAATTTTTACATGAGTAAAGTGAAAGACTAAAAAGTGGGTAAACCTTTTGCTTAAATATCTTGCCGTTAATTTGAGAGAACTCATCTAGGAGGATAACCATCAAATTACTTAATTTCAAGATATAAATTTGATCCCCTTTTGAATAAATGTGCCCCGTGTTCTGGAATTTAATACTGCTTGATAATGCTTAATAGTGCTTAATTTTTAGAAAAACATTAAGTTACATACTAGGTAGCCTGTGTGAAGAGAAATGAAGATAGGCAGTTTTCCTCTTCAGTATTTTATTACTACTTCCATCTAACTATCCTTTTAGGCTGATAGAGAAAATTGGTTTTATAAAATCACAGTTCAGCCTTTCTTTCTTTCTAGATTTACTGACATTTTAATTTACATAATCCCATATCTTTTAACAGTATTTCTCTGACTTGTAACATCTGAGAGCTTTGTTAAATCCATTCTCATTTCCAGGCTTTATCTCTGAAAATTCTGATTCAGTAAATCTGTGGTAGGCCTTCTTGTCTGTACTTTTATTAAACATCCTAGATGAAACTGATGAGCAGACAAGTCTAGGAAACACTAATTTATGTTATAACAGGTAAGGGGTGCATTAGTTAAAAAGAGCATCATCTGGTCAAAATGAAAAGGTGACAATATATAACATTAAACCCTAATCAATCACTCCTTCACACCACATCAAATGCATAGAAAAACCACATATATTCAAAGAACATGTTTTTGTTCATGCCTCTTCAGTGCTGAGAACTGTACCTGGCTTATGGGTGCCCTCCTTAAGTATTTATTAAAGAAAACAATTTATCCATACCCAAGAAGACGCCTATCTGAACAATGGAAATACAGTGATAGTTCAAGGAAAATATAGGACCCCAGGAAATTTGTAGGGAACATAAAGTTAAATACTTGTTAAAATGTTAAGTATTTCTACTTAAATAGAAATAGAATTTAAAAACTTTTAAGTCAGCAAAGGAGGGAAAGGGGGCTGATGAAAGAAAGAAAAGGAAGAAAAATACAAAAGAAAGAAAAATAAAATTTATAGAAATAGAAAAAATATAAAAATGAAACCAAATTATTTGTCATAAATCACAAGTAAATATGATGAATTAAACTTATTTTACTTGAAAGTAGCAGTATTTAAGACTGGATATTTTTTAATTCAGCTATATGCTGGTTATGAGACACATCTAGATCAAAAAACAGGAAGCCTGATTTTAAAAAGGAGTAGCATTACTAACATGATGTAATTATTGGTTTAAAATATCTTCCTTTAAGAAAGCAGACCAGGAAATTAGCCTTCTGGTTAGAGGAATACAGAGTATATAGGTAATATAGATTATCGGGCTAGATACTTGGCTGCTATAAAACAGATGACAACAGACAAGTCGTGTTAGATTTAACACCTTCATTTCAGATTTGAATGGTTCTTGTATGAAGAAAGTAGCTCTGTCATTGTAGCTTCTTCTCAAACCATCTTTTGACTTTATTGAAATTCCAGGGGAAATTATAACTGCATGTCTGCTGCACTGCCACAGTGCCTAATTATAGATGTAGAATGATCCACTTTCCTCACAGAATTCCCTTCCTTTCTTTTAAGGAAACAGAATAACACTTATTTATTTATTCATTCATTCATAATAGCAACTAAAATAAAGTCTTAGCTTCCATTACACTGTTTGAGTGCTTCTGCAGTGGTGAGATCATTAAACAGAAGGACAGACTCAGTAAGAAGCCCATATTCTTGTTCCAGGCAAAATGAATGGCACACTTTTCCTCTTTTAGAGAGTCATTTATGTGTTTTTGTATCATAGAGAAAATAAATAATGCAGAGTATGATTTTTCACTTTTCAAAATAATTTATCTTTGTCACTTAATGATTAAGGGGACAGACTGTGTAGTCAGGTTACCTGAGTTCAGATTCTGGCTTTTCTCTCTTAGTAGCTGTGATCTTAAACTTAATTTCTCTGTGGCTCATATCATCTATTAAGTGGGAATAACAGTAACATCTGTATCATTGGATTATTTGAGGAATATATTAATTAACATTAACATTCTAATTAACATTAGAACAGTCTCCAACATAGTAAGTGCTCAGTGTTAACTATTATGATAACATAATTATTATACTCTTAGATTTGATGAGTACAGAGCTATTTGCTCTCAAGGTTCTAGTTACATGTGTTCAGATGCCATGTAAATATAGCTACTTTAATAATAAGATTATGCTTCATACATTAGCATTAATTATATATTTATATAATAGAGTAGCTAAAATTGCAGTAATAATCCTTTTTATTTTTGTGTGATAGTTTTTAGATGGGAGTGTAGGATAAAGAGGTAGAAAATTGGGAAGGATGCAAGTAAAGAGAAGGAACAGGATAAAACACCCCTGCAGAAAAGATTTCAAGTAGATATAATATGGAAATGCAATAAGGAAATTATTTGACAAAGGAAGACATGAATAATGGGGGTGAGGTTGGTTCCCAATCACACAATCAGATTGTTACTAAGGCTTCAGAATCTGTCCAAAGAGTACCCCCTTGAATGGTAGATAGCAGCAAAGTAGCTGCATCACAAATGAGTGAAGTTTCTGTAATTCTACAGACATGGAACAGGGAGGCATCACTTGCTTCAACATTAAAACCTTCTTGTCAGAGCCCCACACTGGTGGCTCATGCCTATAATCCTATCTACTCAGAATGCAGAGATCAGGAGGATCCTGGTTTGAAGCCAGCCCAAGCAAATAGCTCATGAGACCCTATCTCAAAAAAAACCCATCACAAAAAAAGGGTTGGTAGAGTGGTTCAAGTTGGAGGCTCTGAGTTCAAACAAGCCCTCAGAAAAATCTGTTGCATCAACATTTTCCTTGATCCACAACCTGCATTGCTTCAGATCAGGGGACTGAGAGATCTCCTTAAAGAATGCTCAGAGACCTGGCTTCCTAGTGTTCACACAGCTAAACCCAGCCATAACTTCTTTGGATCCATGAAGAGAATGTCACCCTCTTGTAGCTCCACTGATAGAGCCATAGTCTGTGTGGTCCAGGCTGCCAAGTCATAAAATAATTAGTTGTAAACCATGGTCAATCTCCTGTTTTCTTTCCATGACTGATAAGCAAGTTCAAGTGTTCTTTTATATTTCCATAGTTAATATTTTAACATACATATTACAGAAGCTAAAATGATTCAATCACCTTTTGAACATAGACAGATAACAGTGGCCATTCAGACTTCAGAGGTAAATTTCCACATATGAATCATCCTATTTTCCCTGATGCTATTGTTTTCAAGCTAATGTATTAAGCCCCAAATGTAGTGATAACATTTTTCCCCACTGGAGTAGAGATTCTAACTGCTTCTGATGAAAATGTAACAGAGAATAATGAAACTTAACATCCAACAGTTTATTTCAGACTTCTCATGATCTACTCTTGCCTTTAAAGAATCCTCAAAATACTTCAGAGCATGACCTGGAAGCATGTTCACAAAGCACTAACTTTTCAAAGTATTTTACACTTATGTGTACACACACACACACACACACTAATTCTACAATAACTTTGAAGTGTCACATTGTTACATTAGTATATCAAAAGTTCCTAGAAAAACTTTATTAGAGAAAGATGTATAATTTTGTTTACTTCGGCATTTCTCAAAAGATATTTATAAATAGAACATAACATATTTTCTGAAAAAATTTTCAATGGACACAGTAATACATAGCATATACTTGCAGTTCTAATATAAAACAAAAACTAACATAAATTAATGCTTTGCCCTTGGAGTTTGGCTACTTAAGCTATATTGATCTTATAGGTGATTTTATGAATGGGTAACGAAGTTGATTATGCCAAAGGCAGCTGTTCTTTAATTACTATGTGGTGATTGCTCATTAAGATCCTGGAAGAAGAGCAAGCCATAAAGATATCGGGGGCATAAATCAGATAGTGAAAGATAAATAGTTATAACTTTAATTCTTGGCTGTTTTACCTGGTATAATTTTTAAATGCAAGTTTTTGTGCTTGATGCTGATCCAAGTCAAGGATTTATGACACCAAAAAGAGTATGAAATCATATATTGCAATTTTCAAGTTCATAATTATAAGTACTGCATTGCAATATCTTAGTATTCATTTGTTGGTTATTATCCTTAACTTAGAATTTTTCTGCCAATCTGTATCACAGCAGGAATCTTAGTTATTATTGCTTACAAGTTAATTAAATATTAAATCACAGCTGGCTTAAAAAGTTGCAACTAGTCCATTTGCTGAAGAATGGGAAAGGGAAATGTAATAGTATTTGTGTCTACACAGGTGTGTGTGGACCCCTTGCTTTCATTTATTTGTCTGCATTGATTTTCTTGAACTCCCATTAGTATAAATAAATTTTTTTACAATAGTAAAGTTGAACCTGAACTGCATACTAACACTGTGTCTGTTTATGGGTATATTTAAGCAGAATGCAGCCAGTTACCATGATAACTATTCATCACAAGTGATTCCTTTAATTTCTTTTATATGACTTTTTTGTCATAAAACTGCTCTGATGCATTAATAAAAATTCTCTGTTTTAGGACTGTTGAAAAAACTAACTACTCTAAAAGTAGATGACAATCAACTTACTATGCTGCCCAATACAATTGGAAAGTAAGTGCCAATATTTTGTACCTTTTTATAGCCTGCCTATAGCCAGAAATAAAAGGATAGATTTAGTTTTCTACTTCAAAACATTTTCTACTAGTTGTTCTTATGTCAATCTATTTTAGACTGTTTTATTTAATTATATGTATTTGTATACAGTGTGTCTAACTTTAATTTTATATCTGAATATTTTATCAACATCCAACTACATATTATAGTGAGAAATATTCAACCACAAATATTCAACCATGAATTTTTCACAAGTAAAACAATTACCAGACCTTCAGTTATACTCTTGATTGTATTTTACAGATAGTATTAATTTGATACTTTTACTAAGTAACTGCTCTGAATTCACTTGAAGATTTCTTGTAAAATCAAATGAATTTTCTAAGGCTCTGCATCATATATATATATATATATATATATATATATATATATATATCATGTAATATGATATGTATATATCATATACATATATAATGATATATGTAGACATTACACTATTAATAATTTTTATATGTATGGAAGCTTAATGTATTGAAGGAAGCTAAAGAAAAAAACATCTGATTAGCTAGTGTTCTAAAAACTTTTAGATAAAAGTACAAATTTGCCTTTTAAGGATAAAACATGCTCCATTTTTTATAGCAATTTATTTCTAACTTTATATTGCTATTCATATTTAGTTCACAGCTCCTTCAGAAATAATATATTTTCTAAGTGTTTCATTGAAGTTCTTTTGCTTATAATTTGTGCAAAGTGAGAAATCAATATAAGCTGTCTTCATCTTGAAATTATGTAAGGCCTTTTCTTATCAAGATCTTGCCCCATATCTCACTGTGAAGAAGTATATAAACCCCTTAATCTAACAGATTTGGGCATACTCAGGAAAAGAAAGCCTTAACTTTTTCTTAAACAACTTTATCAGGTATAATTGATGAACAACAAACTGCATATATTAAAGTCTTCACTCTAAGTTTGACATAGGAATACAGCCTTGGAACCACCACCACCACCATAATCGTGATGGTGAAATGCCCCTCACCTCTCCCTCCACCCCCATCTTCTGCAAGTGGACAGGAAACCACCGATCTGGAAAGCTTCACTTTAAACAGTTCCACAATTTGGCAGAATTCAAATTCGAATGTTCAGACCTCAGAGAGTAATAAAAATCTCAGCCATTTTTAATATTTTATTATGCACACTATGCAGTATGTTTCTGTCCATGGTTGTTTCCATTTTCTCCAATATATAGTAGAGAGAATAGTGCTGTCTTTTGAGATACACAAAAGTAATTTTCCTCATCAGCTTTTTAAAAATTCTTTCCAATTATATTCGTAGGCACTAATCTTTCTTTGTTGGATCAATACTTGGGAGAAATCAAATTCAACTTCATTTATCCCTACTAAGTGCCTGATTGGTATTTTGCCACTTACATTCAGATGTCTTATATAAACTAATTACCTAATTCTTTAAAGACAAGAGGAAGAGGTTAGATAACCTAAATATAAACAAGGAAAGTTGTTTTTTCAATAGGAAGTGGGACCTGACTTTGGCCATCCTGAGAATTAGCTTTTGATTTTCAGCCCACTGTTGGCCTCTTAAAAACCTCCCAGGTGGCAAACTCAGCTCTTTCTGGAGTCAAGTTTTAGCCCAAGACTGACACTATGATATGTGCTCTTGGCACACATCTGTATGAGTTCCTGCCTCTGCCCTTCATCAGTTTTATCTCATGCCAGACACTGTTTTAGAAAGGCATTCTAAGCTCTGTCTCCTTCCCAGTAGTCAGGCAGGGCATTGAAGCCAAGCTATACACACACTCTAAACCACAGTCAGTCTTAGTTCTTACATCACCACCAGTATTTAGTTATGTTCCTTGCAGTCTTCCTGGTAGCTGAATTATAAATGTGGAGAAAGCTAAAATGATGAAGCAGTTATTTGATACTTTAATGTGTTCAAAAGGAACAGGTTATAAACACCAGTTGGCTGTCAGCAGCTTTCAGTTGCTTGAACAAAAGACTTATTCCAGAAAATCAAGATAATTGGGAAATAAAGCACCTATAAGCATTGAGAAGAAGGAATAGTGAGCCTACATATTGAAAGCAACTCATTCTTATTAAATTCTCAGATGGCCCAAAGCCAGAAGAAATACTGAATGTTGGTGAAAAAAGGCAATATTTAAAGGAGCTGGACAGAGAAGGCACTTCATTAAAAGGCCTAATTTGGCAGGGGTGGGGAGAAGGCCCAATGAAACTTAGCAGACATTCATGGGGCAGTGAGAGGAAACCACTGTTTTGATTGACTGCAATCAATATTAGCCAGTATCATAATGGATTATCAAGAAAGCCACAAAAGCACTAGTTGTATAGGCATGAGGATCCACTCAAAACCAACAGCTACTAACAGCTTAGATGTTCCCTGACTCTTGTCTGCCAGTTCCAGTACGAATGCAATTGACAAGAGGGCAACAATGACAGGTATGGAAGTCTAATTCCCCAGAGAAAAGGTAGAGAAAATTTGAGGTGTACCTCTTAGAGAAATGTTTTTTTTTAAATCACCTGAAGTAAGCATATAATTAATTAAGAATTAAACAAAATATCTAGAAGTCCAAGGTTATAGCTCCCGTACTACTTTCCAGATCTTGCTGGCGTGTTATACACTCCCAACTGCAGACCCCAGGAGCCCAGAAAAAATGTCACCATTCTATCTCTGGACTCTCTTTCCACCCCAAGAATGGCTTCAAAGTAAAGTAGCATTTTCATTTCCCATCTCTTTTAGTCAATTTTCTATCACTGTGACAAATGCATCTGAGATAAATAACCTAAAGGAGGAAAGGTTTATTTTGGCCAAGTTTGTCACTTGGCTCCATTGCTTCTCGGATGGTAAGTGAGGCAGAACATCATGTGAGGAGTGTGTGGTAGAGCAAAGATGCTTACCTCAGGGTGGCTGACAAGGAAAGGAGGAGGGTGCAGAGACAAAACATACTCTTCAAGATCACATCCCCAATAACCTACTTCCTCCAGCTATGCCTCACGCCCAAAGGTTTCATCACCTCCCAATAACCTCTTAAACTATGAAACCATCACTGGATTAGGCCACTGATGAAGTTAGAACTCTCAAAGGCCCCACCTCTGAACACTTCTGCAGTGGGGACCAAGCATTTAAAACATGGATCAGAGGAATGTTTCAGATCCAAACCACAACACTATCCTACTTGTCTTTGTAGAACACAAAGATACAGGCTTTTTGGTGTAAGGTTTTTCTGGTTCAGAAACATGACCAGAACATAACCAAAAATAATGTTATAAAATTTAAAATTTTTCATAAAATATATAAACACAGTGTACACTGACTTGATCATATCTACCATTAATTAATCTTATCACTCTTCTTATTAACTGGGCTTCAACCATACTGGCCCTTTGTTCACAACTCCAGTGAGCCAGACCTTGTGCTTCCTCAGGGCTTTCTTACTTGTAGTTACCTCTACCTGAAATATTCTTTCCCCACCCCTTGTAAGACTGAATACTTCACATCTTCTCAGTCCATACCTTTAATCTTTGATATGCATTCAGATTTCCTTATTTTAAAAGAACATTCTGTATAGACCTAATATAAGTACAGCAATTCTATGGAAAACAGGTCACACTAAGGGAGGTCAAATATAAGAGAGGGAGGGTAAAGGAAAGAAGTCAAGAAGGTGAACATGGTTGATGTAGTCTCCATACAAAAATAAATGTAGAATTTTTAAACCAGCTGAAACTACTATAAGGAGGGCACTAGATGGAAAGAAGAAAAACAAAGGAGATGAACCAAATCAGGCTATAATACATATAAACATGGAAGTGCCACAAGGAAACTCCCTGTGTAGCTATTCTAAACAACCAAAAATGTTATTTTTCTCTTCTTCTTCTTTTCTTATAAAAATAGGAGAACGAGAGGGCAGAACAGGTCTTGCCTGGGTTGGGAGGAGGTGGGGAAATGGTGAAGGAGGATGAATATGCTGCAAATATTGTGTGCACATGTATGAAAATCAAAAAATGATATCTGTTGAAATTATTCCAGGAATGGGGGAGAGTGGGATGAAGAGAAGTGGAGGGGTGAATTCAAGTATGATATATTGTAAGAACTTTTGTAAATGCCACAATGTACCCCCACCCAGCACAACAATAAACAAGAAAGAAAAAACAATAAATAATAATATATATTTTTTAAAAAGCACATTCTGCTCTAATACATTTGAAACCTGAGAGACTTGGAAACCTGCATCTGTCATAGATGTTCAGGTAATATCAATTGAGGTTCACAGACAATATTGAGTGACAGGGTCCAGTTCTGGATTTGAGTATCACCTCCACAGTGAGGATTTCCCTCCATGTTCTGCTACCAGTATGTCCACCATCAAATTTTCTCTGTCCCTATGACCATTTTGTTTCTTTCATTGTCACCTTTCACAACTTAAAATTGGTCATTTTATAAATCACCTTATTCCTTTAATTTTTTTCTTAAATGCATACAGCAGACTTCAATTAAGATAGGTTTTGAATCCCAGCTCTAGAATTGTATAAAGCTTCTAAAAATGATGAATGCTGACTTACTTTTAGTAGTCTAGAACCCTCTATTGTTCCATGTTAATCCGCACTCTTGGATAAGGATGAGAATACCAAGCACTAATTATGTTTGTGATGGATATGGCTCATTTAGATCTCTTGTGCTTCTACTCTTCACTAAATACCTTGATTCAGAGTGAAAATACAAAAGAAAAAACTGGGTAAATAATGCAAATGAATATGGATGCTAGATGATTCACATACTTAAATTTCATTACAATTAATAATTCTCTTAAAAGTATGAAAAAGATTTATCAAAGATAGATAGAACCATTTAATTCAAAGGTTGATTACTGGTTTAAAAAGAGAAAGGTTAAGAAACCCATCATAAAAGCTCATCTTTCAAAGATTTTTATTGTCATTGCTTTGGTTATTGTTTCAGGGAAAATACAAGAG